AAGTAAATATTAAGAAAATTAAAAGAAGAATATATAAATATTATTATTTGTTGTGGCATTGTTCTCTATGGAGTGGTGCCCGGTTAATGTTTGCCATTTTGTTCTTTTTTTAAAAACATTGTACTACTTTATTCTGACTTTAAAAAGGCCAAAAAAAAATCATTGTTAAGTGTTTTAGTTAAAATTGAACAAAAATTTTTATGAAGAAAAAGATATTTTTAAAATAATTTTAAAAAAATATAATAAAAAAATTAAATAGAAGAAAGTTATGAAAATTAAATGAAGAATATATAAATATTATTTCATTATTTAAAAATAAAAATATTAACTTTTTTCATGAAAATAAAAGAATTAAAAAGAATTTTAAATCGAAAAAAATGTAAACAAATTTAAAAAAAAGATTAAAATTGGAAAGCTCCTCTCAATTACACGAAGAGATATCTCTCCGTGTTATGAGAGGAATTTTTCCGTTTGTTTTCATTATTTATTTATTTTGTTTTATTTATATTACTAATAATTTTTTTTAATTCTTTTGTCGATAAAACTTAATTTTTTGCAATTTCAACTAAATATTATTTTTTTTATTTTTGTCTCTTTCTTTTGTTTAATTTATTATATATATTTTCAAAATTGTTTTAAAATATCTTTTTCCTTCATATTATAAATAGTTTTTTCTCGATTTAGAATTCTTTTTAATTTTTTTCATTTTATGATATAAAATAATTTTTTTAATTTAAGTTTTATCAATGTCCATAATTAATATCCCAACTTTAAAATTCATCAAGTAACAACAGAGACAAAAATCTCAATTAATTATCATGATATCTTTTCTACGTTATATACTCAATTACATCATATTTTCACGTGCATTACATCATTATCATTATTATTATTTTATATATTTTTTATTTTATTATTATTAATCTCTCCGTGTTATGGAGAGTTTTTCTCCATGACATGGAGAGTGACACGAAGCTTCTTTTTTTTTTTTTTGTTAAATTTGTTTTGTTCATTATATAAATATTTTTTTATTTTAAATTCTTTTTAATTAAATAATATTTATATATTCTTTATTTAGTTTTTATTATATTTTTTTAAATTTCTTTTAAAATTTCTTTTTATTTATATTATAAATAATTTTTTTCGATTCAAAATTCTTTTTGTTTTATGATAAAACGTAATTTTGAAAAAAAAAAGAAATTTAAAAATATGATAAAACGTAATTTTAAAAAGGAAAACGTAATTATTTGTATTATGAAGACAAAGAAATTTAAAAAATTATAATAAAAACAAATCAAACTAGACAAAATGAAAGTTACAAAAAATAAACAAAGCATATATAAATATTATTTAATTAAAATTGAAAAAATAAAATTTTATCATAAAGAAAAAATAAAAGAAATTTTAATTCGACAAAAAATATTTAAATGATGAACAAAAAAAATGGTGGTTTGATATGATGAATAACTGTCTTATTTTTTATTTTAATGAAGAAATAATGGAGCTCAAACGGAGCCTTAATTAAAATTGAAAACATTAAGTTTTATTATAAAGAGAAAAGAATTTTAAATAGAAAAAAAATTTATGATGAGCAAAACAAATAAAAAAAAAAAAAAACTATCCAATTTTCTTTGTGTCATGAGAGAAATCTTAAAATAACACGGACAAAATGCTCTCCATAACACAGGGGTAACACCGAGAGAGTTTCATATAAATATTTTTTTATATAAAATTCTTTTTAGTTCTTTTCTCTTTATAATAAATTTTAATTTTTTCAATTTTAATTCATTATATTTATATATTCTTTATTTAATTTTCTTAATTTTTTTTTGTTTAATTTTTTTTATATATTTTAAAATTGTTATAAAATTTATTTTTAAAAAGAATTTTAAATTGATTAAAAAAAGTCATTAGTGGAAAAAAAGGGCAATATGGATATTCTCTCATCTCTTCCACTTTGGGTCGTCGCCCAATATTTAATTTTTTTCAAATTTAATTGAATAATATTTATATATTATTTATTTAGTTTTCGAAATTATCTTCTTTTTTTTAACTTGGTTTGTTCACCATATAAATATATTTTTTTTTTTCAATTTCAAATTCTTTTTAGTTCTTTTATCTTTATGATAAAAATTAATTTTTTTAATTTTAATTAAATAATATTTATATGAAGGCAACATATTTAATTTTAATTATTATATAATTTTGGATTATAATAATATTTGTAATTGTTTAATTTGATACTCTATTCACAAAAGCTACCATCACTATTCATTTGTTTTGTTTTGGAAGGAAAATGAATAAAAGCCTTTAGGTAGCATGCTACTTTTGACTTTTTGTTAAGGTGGAGAAATATTTTGTCTACATACAAAAAGGCCATTAGACCTTTAGTGTGAGAATTTTTTCTTTAAAAAAATCAAATATTTTATTAATGTTTATTATTTTTTCGCGACAATTTTCTCAATATAATTTACATCATTTCCTTAAAAAATATATTATGTGGTATGACGTCAATTATTTTTTTGACGTAAAAATTCAAAGAAGACAAAACAGCATCACCACACACGTGTAGGAAAACCATTAGTAGGGATTTCAGGAGTGAAGTGGGATATTATGGAATATTCAAGGGTAAAATTAGGTAATGGAGAGTTTTGTTTTCTTTTGGATAGAGATGAATCAAACCCTTTATCTGGCACACAATTTTTGATTTTTTGTCATAAGAGATATTTTCTCTAAATTCAAAAAGGTCATTAGACCCTTAGTGTAATAGTTACTTTGCGAGGGAGTTGAGGGTAAAATAGGAACATCTGAATACGTTCTGAATGAACAGTAAACGGTCGATTCCCTCTTTTTACGGTGGTAATGATTTTAATTAATAATTAAGATAAGTAATGATTTGTTAATTGTTTGAGGACAAAATGGGAAATGAAAATACTTCAAAAATGAATAGTAAATAGCATGTTGCCAATTAAGATAAGTAGTTATTTGTTAATTGTTTGAGGACAATGGGAAATGAAAATGCTTCAAAAATGAACAGTAAATGACATATTGGCTCTTTTAAGATAGTAGAGATTTTAATAAGCCCATGAGTGCGTTCCTATTCCAACTTTCTCTGAACTTTCAGTAGCACAAGGAATAAAAGCAAAAATAAAAATAAAAAATGATGATTAGCTGAAGTGAAAACCGAAGCCCTAGTAAAATTATTTTCTTATGCATACACCTCGCTAAGCTCATGAAACTTGAAACTTGGCCTCCATGCCTATCCACATTTTACCTTTTTTAGAGCACTGGTTAAACATTCAACATTTTGAGACGAATAATTCAAGTATCATTTATTGATTATTATTTTTGCATTTAAATAATGTGAAATTTTACCCTAAAAAAATAATAACATATGTTTTTAAATAATAATAGGCCTCTGTTTGGTAGAAATTATAATCTAAATTTTAATTCAAGTCAGAGTCAATAGTTAATTTTTATCATACATTCATTAAACCCACAATTTTTCACTCTATTTTAACAAAATTTCTTAACATAAACCGGCATCTGAGATAACTTGTATTCAAAGTTGGCCTTGGGCCAAAGCCCCTACGACAATGCCCTAGAACATCCAAAGTTGGGGGACATAAAAATAAATAAATAAATAAAATCCTAAATTTGAAAATGAAAAACAAGATTACAATATAAATTTGAAAATGGAAAGCAAAATTACAATATAAATTTGAAAATGGAAAGCAAAATTACAATATAAATTTGAAAATGGAAAGCAAAATTACAATATAAATTTGAAAATGGAAAGCAAAATTACAATATAAATTTGAAAATGGAAAGCAAAATTACAATATAAATTTGAAAATGGAAAGCAAAATTACAATATAAATTTGAAAATGGAAAGCAAAATTACAATATAAATTTGAAAATGGAAAGCAAAATTACAATCTAAATTTGAAGTTTACATCAAACACTTCTTTTTCTTGATTTCTTTACTTTTGATATTTGGAATCTGGTAGATAAATCTAAATGGAAAGCAAAATTACAATGTAAATTTGTTTTTTGAGTTATTTAAAGAGTCAAGAGAAAGATAAATCATTTTATTCTATTTTAATATAATTTTTGAATGTAAATCAACATCTAAGATAACTTGTATAATTCAGAGCCGGCCCTGGGTCAAAGGCTCAAAGGCAATGTCCTAGTGCCTTCAAAATTTGGGGACACAAAAATAAAAATCCTACCTATTTATCCTATTTATTTTTTATTAAAATATTCTCATAATTCTTTTTGTATAAACTCTTCATCTAAATATAAAAATATGTTATTTATTTAAATATTTAATTTTACGCTTGTAAAAAGTTATGCATAAGAACCTCATCATAAATAATCGTCTAGGACCTCAAAATTCTCCAGACCAACCTTGTATTAATTTGAGAATGAGAATCCAATGAAAAAGGTTTAGGACATCTATGATAATGAGTAAAGTTCACAAACATTTCATTCAACTAAAATGTTGTGCAATTATTAAATATGTGGTGTGAATATGTTTAATTTCATCGATCATTTTTCCTATCTCGAACTCAAAAAATTAACTCAATTTCTAGCCAAACGAGTGCACAAATGGAATTTTTCTATCCTGAACTCTACATCAATTCAATCTCTAGCAAAAATGAACACTCATAGACTCATCATTTACATACTCATACACAAATATCATGAGCTCGCCATTGGATTAGAAGTGCTCGTGCATTGTGAGTTCATCGACAAATTTTAGACGCAGCAAAACAGCTATGACGGAGTGCAAGGCCATAAACTTTTTGGGTAAATTTGTACGTCCACTCCATTTTGTGATTGAAAAATGAAATTTATTTGACATAAAAATATATCTTTAGCAAGATTGGCTTGTCGATTTGTATGCAAGCCAAATGCTTATGCAATGCTAACTGGACTCGAGGCATAAAACCAACAATCTAGCCTTCCAATGACCACAGAAGGTAAATTAGAGGCTATTGAGAAAACAAAATTGTCATGTAAATTATAAATAGAGTACGATAACCTGCGACATTCCAAACAAGCTATGAAAAATGCAAGGAAAGCAAAATGTGTTCAACATATGCAATAGGAAATCTAAAGCATGTCAGTTTAGAGGAACCCAGTTTGTAATCAAAATGTTTTATCTACTTTATTATCTGTCTTGCCATGTTACCGAAGCTCGAAGCATGAAATCTTGCAATAATTTGAAAATTCACCATTATTGCAGGAACTAGAACATCCTTCACCCATAAATCATTCTGTAGCTGCAAAAGTATCAATAAAGAGATTGCTTGATATCCCTGGAAAGTGCAAATCTGAATAACTGCAAAAATAACAAATAAATAAGAGTAACGTAAATTGTACATCATTGTGTACAGATTAATGTACATATTAATGATACGGAATGTAAAAATCCCGTAATTTTATAGAATTATTATAGAAAGATTGTTTCTATCTTTATTTGGTATAATTGTAAATTAGTTAGGAAATAATTTCTTCTTTCCTTAGATAGGAGATTATTTTCTTTTTTATTCCTCCTCCTTGTATTATATATTTACAATTTTCCATTGTAAGAAAAATATAATAAAGAATTGGAATTCTGTCATCCAATCTTCATGGTATCGGAGCCGGAATTACAGTAAAACTAGCCATCAATGGCGGAAAAAATTGGAGCAGGGATTCGGCAACATCTGAGTCTCCCATAGGTGAAACCGAAATTACTCCCACCATGGGTCCAATTGGAATTGATAATTTGTCCTTCCAATTAACGGTAGAGAAACTCAACGAGAGAAACTATAGGGAGTGGGCTCAGTCCACTAAATTGGTGATTGATGGGAAAGGAAAGTTAGGTTATCTCACCGGAGAAACGAAGCAGCCCATCGCCGACGTGAATCTTCAGAAAAGGTGGAAATCCAAAAACTCCATGGTAATGGCATGACTCGTGAACTCGATGACGCCCGAAATTGGAAAAATTTATCTCTTCATGCCCACCGCAAAAGACATTTGGGAAGCAGTCGGGGAGATGTACTCCGACGCTAAAAATTTCTCGCAAATCTTCAAGATTAAAACCAAGTTGTGGCAATCGAAGCAAAGGGAGAGAGATGTCACCGACTATTACATGGAGATGACAGCTTTATGGCAAGAATTGGACCAGAGTATTGAAGATGAATGGAACTGCGCCGGTGATTGTATCGAGTATAAGAAACGGCTGGAGAATGAGCGAGTGGATGAATTTCTGGTTGGACTGAACAGGGAATTGGATGATGTTAGAGGTCGGATTCTTGGTCGCCGACCGCTTCCCACCACTTGTGACGTGTTCGTTGAAGTGAGGCGAGAAGAAAGTCGCCGACTGATTATGATGAAGAAGGAAGGTGGACTCGCTGGGTTGGAAGGATCGGCCCTATCTTAACAGTCAACTGGGCCAATAGATAGTGGGTCTGATAGTTTGGCTACAAATGTTAAAAAATCGTTTTTTAATGGGCCCAAATCTGTTGGGTTTGACGGAACCGGCAAAAATTGGACCAGGCCCGAAACATCAAAAGAGTCGTCCATGGTGTGACCACTGTTGAAAACCCGAACATAAAGAAGATACGTGTTGGGATTTGCACCAAAAACCAAGTGACTGGAAATCGAGACAAAATACTAGAAATCATGGATATCAAGCTGCAATTAATGACACGCAACAGTCCACTTCAAGCAGTGCATTCAACCTAGAGCAACTCGAACAACCCTATAAAATGTTTTCAAATTTTCAATCACCTAATTCGTCAAGCTCCCTAGCCCACAAAGGTATTTTTTCGAAAGCCCTAAACACCAAGGTACTCTCTAAAGTGCCTTGGATTATCGACTCTGGTGCGTCCAATCATATGACGGACTCCCACCACCTGTTCCTTTCATACTCACCATGTGCAGACAACCTTAAAGTTAAAATTGTAGATGACTCTTTATCCTCAATTATCGGAAAAGGGAGTATTCGACTCTCTGATTCAATAACACTAAATCATGTCCTACACGTCCCAAATTTATCCTGTAATTTATTGTCTATTAGTAAATTGACAAAAACCTTAAACTGTTCCGCTAACTTTGTTCCTTCTCATTGTATTTTTCAGGACCTATCATCGGGGAAGACAATTGGCAGTGCTAAAGAGGGTGGGGGGGGTTTACTACTTTGACGAAACTGATGTGAGTAAACAACATCAATTTGTTAGTTGTGATTCTGCATTTGTTCCTAGGGATAGTAAAATTCTGTTATGGCATTTTAGATTGGGTCATCCCAACCTTCAATATATGAGACATGTATTACCTTCAGTATTTTCGAATAAAATATCTATTGATTTTAGTTGTGAAACTTGTGAACTTGCAAAACATCACCGCTCACCATTCCCAAAATCCACATACAAATCATCTAAACTCGTCGCATTAATTCACAGTGACCTTTGGGGACCTTCACGAACCCCCAATTGCACCCACACTAAATGGTTCATTACATTCATTGACGACCATACTCGAATCTGTTAGGTTTATATGCTGAAAGAAAAAGTGATGTCCAATCTGTATTCATAAATTTTCATTCAATGGTCCAAACTCAATTTCAAACAAAAATTCAAATTCTGCGCACAGATAATGACACAGAATATTTCAATCATACTCTAAACAATTACCTTTTAGACAATGGGATAATTCACCAAAGCTCATGCGTTGATACTCCACAACAAATGGAGTTGCTGAACGAAAAAATAGACACATCCTTGAGGTGGCTCGAGCACTATTGTTTACTTCTAGCATGCATACCACCTTCTGGGATGATGCCATTCTCACAGCAACCAACCCTATAAACAGAATGCCTAGTCACATTCTCAAATATGAGACCCCTCTTCAAAAATTCCAAAATTTTTTCCGTTACTCTCGCATCAGCTCAAACTTACCCCTTAAAGTGTTTGGCTGCACGACCTTTGTTCACATCCATTCCCATCGTCGAACTAAGCTCGAACCACGTGCCCTCAAATGTGTATTCATTGGATATTCACCAACACAAAAGAGGTATAAATGCTATGATCCAACAACAAAAGGGTAATTGTTAGCCTTGATATCACTTTCTTTGTGGCAAAACCCTTCTTTCAAAAAACCTCTCCTCAGGGGGAGAACATAGTCGAAGATCGCTTTTTTGAAATCTCCCTTAACCCATCTGAATATGAATCGATACAAAATCTTGAACCATCTGCCTGTTCTAATATGCCATCAACAGAAAGCAACTTGAATTCAGGGGGAGATCAGAAGGAACGACTTGACAAAGAGATGATAGTTTATTCAAGAAAGCCAAAATCAAAGTATAAGGAAGACGACCTCACACTCGAAGCACCAAAAGAGTATGAACCGGTGATAGATCCAGATCCTCATGAAATTTCTCCAAAGTCATCTAATTGTGATTTACCTATTGCTCTAAGGAAACCAAAACGATCATGCACTTTTCATCCTATCTCAAAATTCATAGCCTACAAAACTTTATCTCCACAATTTCAAAATTGTCTCTAACCTTGATAATACAAAGATTCCCAAAAATATTTAGGAAGCATTTGAAATTACTAAATGGAAAAAAGCAGTGATGGAAGAAATAAAAGCAAAAATGGATCTTGGGATGTAGTGGAGCTACCACAAAGTAAGAGACCAGTTGGCTGTAAATGAGTTTTTAATGTGAAATATAAAGCAGATGGGACTATAGAACGGTACAAAACTCGTCTGGTTGCAAAGGGATATACTAAAGCCTATGGTACAGACTACACAGAAACATTCGCACCTGTGGCCAAATTGAATATAATTCGGGTCCTCTTATCACTATCAGCAAACTTAGATTGGCCACTACAACAACTTGACATCAAAAATGCATTTTAGAATAGGGAATTGGAAGAAGAAGTCTACATGACATTACCGCCTGGTTTCGACAAGAAAGGAGAAGAGAACAAAGTATGCAAACTAAAAAAGTCTTTGCACAGACTCAAACAATCACAAAGAACGTGGTTTGATAAATTTTCAAATGTATTAAAAAGGCAGGCATATCGACAGGGGCAATCAGATCACACTATGTTCTTCAAAATATTTGAAGATGGGACAAAGACCATTTTGATTGTATATGTTGATAACATAGTGCTTACTGGAGATAATACAATCGAGATTGAGAGGCTAAAAAGGGGCCTAGCCACCGAATTTGAAGTAAAGAATCTTGGACAAATGCGATATTTCCTTGGAATGGAAGTAGCCAGTTCAAAGAACGGTATTAGTGTTTCACAACGAAAATATATTTTGGACCTGTTAATTGAAACAAGCATGCTCGGGTGTAAACCAAGTGACAATCCCATTGATACTGGTAGGAAAACTGACATGGATGAACCAGTAGAAAAGGACAAATATCAGCGACTAGTTGGAAAATTAATCTACTTATCACATACTAGACCTGACATTGCATTCGCCGTAAGTGTGATAAGTCAACATATGCATTCTCCAATGGAGACTCATCTAGAAGCAATATACAGAATTTTGAGGTATCTCAAAGGTTCACCTGGAAAAGGACTATGGTTCAAGAAATAAGAAAAAAGGGACATAGAAATATTCACTGATGCTGATTGGGCTGGAGCAATAGAAGACAAGAGATCTACTACTGGTTATTGTACATTCATATGGGGAAACTTAGCAACCTGGCGAAGTAAGAAACAGAATGTAGTAGCAAGGAGCGGTACTAAAGCAGAGTTCAGAGCAGTAGCTCAAGGGATATGTGAAGGATTGTGGTTAAAAAAACTCTTGAAAGAACTACAAGTTACAATGAAATTCCCAATTAAGCTCTATTGCGATAACAAAGCAGTCATCAATATTTCACTCAATCTAGTACAACATGACCGAACTAAACATGTAGAGGTGGACATACACTTCATAAAGGAAAAAGTTGAAGACGGAACTATTTGCATGACCTATATCCCCACCAAAAAACAAACATCAGATATATTCACCAAAGGGCTACACAAACAAAATTTTGATGATTTCATCTACAAGTTGAATATGGTCAATATCTATGATCAACTTGAGGGGGAGTGTAAAAATCCCGTAATTTTATAGAATTATTATAGAAAGATTGTTTCTATCTTTATTTGGTATAATTGTAAATTAGTTAGGAAATAATTTCTTCTTTCCTTAGATCAGAGATTATTTTCTTTTTTATTCCTCCCCCTTGTATTATATATTCACAGTTTTGCATTGTAAGAAAAATATAATAAAGAATTGGAATTCTTCCATCCAATCTTCACGGAATATAAAAACCGACTTTCTTCTCTATCTTTTCTCTCTGATATACAAATAGCATAACTCAACAAATCATTGGTTACAAAAACATGCAAAGAGGTTCAAAATCTTCAATTACGATATCATATTTTATCATTTTATCAACAAGACCTTTGTATAGAACAGGGTACTTTTTAACCATCCCTAACAAATTTGACTACAACAGTCAACATGGAGGTTTCTTATCATGCATTTGATAAGCTCATATCAGACATGAATCCATTTTGATCTCTGTTTCCAGGCTAGTATCTTACATTAATTTGAAAATGCAGAATTAAAACCTCCTAAGCCCGTTGAGAAATTCAAGAAAGTCCATTTTTCCCCATTGTTATCGTTCCTTGTGGGAACAACATATAGACTTCTCAATATCCCTAGAAAGTGCAACAGTGAAAAGCTGGATAAGAATAAAAAATTCATTGCAAATGCACGGAAGAGCCATCCACCAAATTTTCAAAATCTTTAATTCTTGTGTCCTATTTTCTCACTCTCTCCCCTAAATCTTATTACAGCAATCACCATAGAGTACTCTCAACCATTTCTAATAAATTTTACTATCACTATCAACATAGAAAGGTCTCATCGTGCATTTGCTAAGCCTATATCAACATATAAAGGTTCCTTGCACATTCAATGACACAGTTAACCAGCCAATTCCAAATACAGGAATACAAATTTTTATGACCCTTTTCCTATAATCAGTTAAACAAAATTACATTCATATACTCTATCCAAAAGTAGAAATTCAGCAGACAAATTTTAGAAGCTTATTACTAAGCCTCCAATTGGCTAACTTATAAATGATTTATAAATCAATTATAATTGGTCAAACTTGATTTTTAACCACACATTTCAATAGACAAATACTATTAAATGTGTTTCATCTGCCACAATAGTTTTGCCATTTGACATAGATACTCAATTGGCAATCATTGATGAAACTCTCAATGTGGCACCATGCTCGTATAGTCTGTATACAAATTTATAACAGACCATGTATTTTGGTGCTTCAATTTGTCTCTTTTCCCAACAATGTTGGTCCAACCCCAATACATTTTGACCTAGCCAATAAAATACGAAAAGAAATAGACATGTAAAGCATCTAAAATTTAAGGAACGCTAGGAATATATATAATCCCAGAAATTGCATACATTCCTTGATCCTCCAAACAACCTACATTTTCTATGGCCTTCGTATAAATTATATATACACACTTACCCACAATCAGTAACCTGCACACTGAATATCAACAAACAGCAAAGCAATCAGAGAACTTTGAAGACCATTGAATTTGTATTTCCACACATAATTCAGATTACAAGTTTTCATCATCTTGCTTTCCCTTTTCAAAATGGAACCATAGTCCAACCTAACGACCACGAAAACCATAGCCTCTTGCAGGCTGTAAATCAAATTTATTGCAGCATTAATCCCCCTGTCCAGCTTAACACATATATGCAATCATAAACCAATGCGAATTTTCAACCTCCAAAACGTACCATCCAAAATGCGAGATTATACCCAAAAATTAAAAATTGAAGTAGATTGTGCAGATTAAATAAACTAAGGAAACACCAAGGGTTAATGCCTGAAGATCACAAAGGAAAATGCTTGAAGTAGTGCATAAATGAAAATCAACTCAGCAATCAAATTCCAAAATCTACATAAAAAAGAATCAAGTGTTAAACGCCTACATAAATCAAACATCAATCCATACTCCAATCCAATAATTCTTGTAGTAACTTAAATGATAGAAAGGGTATAACAGACCAATGGTATAATTTTCAAATAATCAAAATCCACAAAGTTAAAATTCAAGAATTAATCTAGCAAAGCAATCAGAGAACTTTGAAAAACCATAATATTTAGAACCCCACATTGAAATTCGGCTTATAAATTTTCATCATTTTGCTTTGCTGTTTACAGATTATAGTAAATTCTTGTAAAGCATTTCATTTTCATTTTTTATTTCATTTTATTTTTATTTATTTATTTTTGGCAAAACGTAGCTGAATGAATAAAAGCTTAATTCAACCAAAATACTTGCCAAAAATACGAAATTTCTGTCGCACCGAATATACCTTCGCCTCGAATTTTTCTTTACAACTATCAACTTCAAGTTGCAAAGGGCTATTTGGGGCGTGTATAACAATTGAAACAAAAGAAATGCTCATAAAAAATTTAGAAATCGATTTTCAAAAAGAAAATAAATCTACAAAAAAAAAAAAAAAAAAAAAAAAAAAAAAAAAAAAAAAAAAAAAAAAAAAAAAAAAAAGAAAGAAAGAAAGAAAGAAAAAGAAAGAAAAGAAAAAACTGGTAGTTTCAAAATGAATCTTGAGGACGATAAATTTGTGTGGCGGATTTTATAGAGAAATAAGTTTAGGTTAGGGTTTCATTTCTGGGCTGGATGGAAACGATGAATACGACATCGTATGAAGCAGGGAAAAGTCACCGAAGTAGTTGTCACGACAAAACTGCGACATCTGCGTAAATCGTGATTCGTGTTGTTGCGTAAAACCGTCGTATTGTTTTTTATTTTTTGAGAATAAAATCGTCGCATCTTTTTTTTATTAGAAAAGAATTGAATAAAACTTGCAATTAAATTTATTTAAGGGACAGTTGCACAACTATTCCCCATCTTAATGACTTAGTAACAAACAGGTCCTTATTCTATTATTTTTGTCATTTACAACATAAATGATTATTTTTGTAGTAATGCAGTCCTTGGTAGATGGAAGCTCTTGCACTTGGTTTATCAACCCTAAAGATGGTTTCATTTTAATAGTGTAAGTTGTGGTTTCCCTTGAGAGTCTCCCAGCTCTTGAGACAAGAATGATACTTTTTCCAATTCTCACCTCCAAGATCCACTATATTGAGATATTTCTTGTAACAACTCACTGTATTATTTATTTGATTATTCCATCTTATCCCCTTTTGGAGACTCAAATTATTAGGCATAAGGGAATTTCAAACCTCTTTAAGATCATCACTTGTAAATTGACCGCTCTGCAACTTCTTATTTGAGAGTTGGATAAGATTATTTCGAATAAAATCATTGATTATGAAAAGTGGATTACCGATCTCCATAAACATTGTTGTATAAATTTTCGGAAGCTCCTCCGCGTAAAAAGATGTTATGAAATTATCATGTACACTGAAGCTTTTGCGTCCATATTCTTTTTGAATTTATCCACCACTTTCATACCTATAAAGCATCCTTCTAGTGAATAAAGCTGATGCAAGTAGCTCTTGAAGTTTTACGCGTATCCCTTTCCCCCTTAGGGACTCGGAGAGTAACCCGATGTCTCTTCAAGGATACTTTATCATAAACCAATATTTGGATTTTTTTTGTTGTGCATATAATACTGCTTTGTAGTGAAGTACAATGTACTATAGCTCACTGGTTTATCCAAGGCAGAACAAACCCATCCTATTTGGTTAATCAACATTATTAGATTAATTATATCAAGATATTTCGTTTTCCAAAATTCAAAACAAAGTTTAGTGATCATATACCCTTGCATTGGCTTTAAATAATTATTACCAGCTATAATAATATCATTAGACATTGCTGAAACCGTCTTACCATATATCAATGGCATAAAGAGTGCTTTGCAAAGCTTTCTATTTAAATACTTGTTTATGATTATAAATATATCTTTATTTAATCTTTCACTCAAAAACTCCCGAAGTTCATCCATCAAAGATGAATACAAATCTTGGATTTCACCGTTTTTAGACGGAAGAAGATTAGTCAAAATACCAAGTTACTCGCAGATGCACCTTGAGATATAGGAACCCTATTCAATCCTTCAATTGTTTCATTTACTACTAACTCTTTCATTGGAAAGGAACTTAGATATGACCTAAAATGGAGCGCTCACATCCTTTCCAAAATGGGATCTTCAGGAGCCTCAAATCTCGCTCGTTAAAACGCTTTCACACTTATGTCAACCGTTGAGACCTGCATGCCCTTGCATGAGACACACACGTCACTTTTTGGCAGGGCAAAATGTCAAGACAGTTTTAATAGAAAAATAAATGAATGAAAAGAGAAATAAAACATAAAAAAATTCACTCTTAGACCTACTCCTGCCCATTCTCCGTGTTCTCGACACACACAAATTACATTTTATATGGGCAAAAATGTCAACACAATTTAATAGAAATAAATTGAAAAAAAAAATAGATATGAAAGAACAAAACAAAAACGAGAAAAATTAGTCTCATACATGCTCTTCCCATTCCCCACTTTTTGACACGCGCGTCACATTTTTTGAGGGTCAAAAAAGTCAAGAAAAATAATTTAAAAGAATAAATAAATAAAGTAAGGGTGTCCACAATTGATACTTTGATGGATTTTTAAAATTTTAAAATTTTATTAAATTTTCTAAATTTGAATAGATTTTTTTACAAAATTCATAAAAATCTCATTAAAATTTGTGAAATTTTAAAAGAGCTTAGTTCATCCAAATTCATATATATTTTATGTTTGAAATTCATCCAAATTTTTTGAAATCATTCTATTAATAAAATCCTAATAAATTTATCAAAATCTTAATTGAGGGTATTCTTATAGAAGAAATGTCTTTTTAGATCTTGAATACGGTCTAGAGTTTAACCAAAAAGACAATTAATAGTAAGTCAAAAATTAAAAAAAGTTGAAAGGACGTGATATGATTGTGATTCGGTGCATCGTGCACTGAGAAAGAGTCCTTTTATTCGAGCGCTGTGCTATTGTGACAACCCCTGGTTGTCCAGTGAGGTATGTGCTAGCATAGCCCGTTATTCAAACAGGGCTAGGACACGCTTAAAAAAACAGGCTGAGGTGCATCAAGTATCATTAGTGACAAAGAAATAGAAAGATGGTGTGTGCGCACCAGCTAGCACTTGCAAACAGTGTTCTACATAGCGCGTCAATGCGCGCATTGGCGCGAGGCGAGGCTAAGGCGAAAATGCGCGCATAAGGCACGCATTATTAGGGTTTTTTTTCTTTTCTTTTTTTTCCCCTTTTACAATTCTTTTAAGTTAAACTTATAATTATTAAATACTTTTTTTATTGATTAAAATTTAAAATAATATTAAAATATTTTTTTTATGCATTTGCCATACCTAATCTCGAATTGTCCTTAGCTTGGCATCAACGCATCATCACACATTACGCCTTTTAGAACACTTTTTGCAAGTGTTGGGTTTCTTTTTTATTCAGAAAATTTACATACTTGGTCTCTGAATTTTTGAATCCTCTCATTTTGGTCCAAAACTTCTAACTTTATTCTCCGTGATTTGAATTTTCAACTTTTCCCAGAGTTTCCTAATTCCTTATCCCATCTTCTCGACCATTTTCTAAACATCTTTTGTCATTCTGCCATTGCAGCATTCCCCTTCCAAATCCATGATCAACATAAAAAATAAAAATAAAAAAAAAAACAAAAACATAAAACATAAAACACAATAAAAAAAAAACAAAAAACAAAATAATAACAAAATTAATAGAAATCTCGCTTCTGGACTTAATTATACCAATTTAAGATCGAAAATAAGTGTAAAATATATACTTACCATTAGTTTATGGAAAATTCTACATAAATAGTCATAAAAATGCACACAAATTAGAATGAGATACATCCATCGACAAAGAGAGAAATTTTTAGAGAGAGAAGAAGCTAGAAAGACAAATGTTACATGTGTATGTGCTCGATTGCATATTGAAAAATGGTGAAATGAATGACTTCAGAGTGAAAGGATTTTCTTAAAGAATTTTCTTGTGATTGATTAGGTCTGGACATTTTAATTGAAATTGAAGATTCCAGTCCAGTCTCAAAAATAAATAAATTAGGAATTAAAATTGAAAACCGACTGAATTCGGGTCAGTTCTTGGTTTTTTGAACTAGAATTGTAGGTAACCAAAGGAAATTGATTTTTTATTTACAAATTATAGACTGAGTAAAATGATACAAAACCTAAAACTTTTATTTGGATAGCAATTTGTCTAAAACTCTAGGCTCTAATCCTAAAAAATAAAGTTTGGCTCCTACCTTTGCGCCACTTGCCTCGCATTAGATTGTTGTATTTCAAAGGATAGTAACAAGTTAATCTTTGAAATTTAATTTGAGCTTTCTATAAATCAAAAAGTTCAAGTTAGATTGTGGCGTAAGTTGATAAATTAAAGTGTTCACTATTTGCAATTCGAGATTTTTACTTTCTTTCATAATTTACAAATTTAAGAGATTTTTAAATTTTTTTTATTACATGTGGTAATTGAACTTGATATACATATTTGTAACTTAGGCTATGATGTACCTTTCTTATTATCTTGAGTTATTGGTTCTCTTTTCAAACATAAATTTTCGCTTCTTATTCAAACAGAGGTAATTCAATATGTGGATCGCAAGTTCTTGATAGTATATAATTATGTATTTAAATAGTATTTTTTATGTCAATTCATTTTAAGAGTAGAATAATTTGAGCATTCTACATAATTAAATTATAGGCTCTAGCATGCATCACTTATGAATATAATACTTGAAGTATAATGGATGGTTTTGTATATTGAAATACTTGAACCGATCCACAGACGCTGGTCTAGGTACCAATGATTTTCTAAGAGGATAAAAAAATTTAATGAAAATTCCTCTTTTAGTGAACCCTTCTTTTTTTTTCTTTTTTTTTTTAAAAGTACACTAACACATGATTTAAATTGTCAACTTCAAAATCAGGTTTCAAATTTATTTATTCAAAAATCATGTCATAATACACTTTTTAGTATTAATTTATTAAATTTTCTCTTTATCCTCTCTCTTCTCTCTCTATACTTTCTATTCTCTCTCTAAATCATACAAACCCGAATCCTAAACCCTAAGATTCCAAATCACACACGCATAGTGCTCCTCATCTTCCTTATCTTCTTCGACATCGATCATTGGTCCTCATCTTTCTTCTCTTCTCCGGTGCTAGTTGTGCGCAGCGATCGTCACCTGCGCACGAAGCGATGCTTCCCTGCATGCAATCCTGCTGTGCGTAGCGTTGTGCATAGCGACACCTTGTTGCATGCTAGTGTAGTGCCACAAGCCTCACCGCTGAGCGCGACTTTTGGTAGTTTTGGGGTGATCTGCAAATTATGGTGGTTGTTGGTGGTGATGGTGGTGATAAGATGGATCCACGTTTGATTGGTGATGATACAATGGTGGTGGTTGC